GCAGCTGTCAGCACCCACTGTGGGTGCACGAGGACCCCCCCGCACAGGTGGGCACCGGCCTTCTGCAGCGAGACCATGTACGGGCGGGAGTGGGGCACCGCCTCGCGCCCCCCAATGATGCGGGTCTCAAAGGTGTTGCCTCCTGGTGAGGGGACAGCGAGGGCCAGGTTAGGGCTGGAACCTGGCCCCGGCCGTGACTTTCCTCCCCCTGGACCCCCCACAGACTGGCCACCCTGACGCAGTCTCTTCTGTTCCCCGAGCCGGTCAGGTTGACAAGTAGGGCCGCCCCCGTCCCTCCGCACCCTCCCCCCACATCCCGGTCACCAGCAGGTGACTCTCCCGCGTCCACACCATCCCTTGCTTCTGGGCCCCACCTGGGCCTCCCTCGGGCACCACAGCATAGCCTCTACTCTGCAGCCAGGAGCTGGTTGAAGAGGAGAAACTGGACCCTCGTACCCACCAGCTGGAAATGTGAGATGGTGCAGCCGCTGTGCAAACGGTCTGGCCGTTCCTCAGGGGTTAACAGATACCACCCGACCCAGCAGTTCCCCCCGAAGAGAGACGAAAACACACGTCCACACAAAACCTGTGCACACACTTTCACAGCAGCACGATTCTCAGGAGCCAAAGAGTGGAAACGGCTCAAACATCCATCACTGGATGATGGATCCACACACGGGTCCACCCACACACTGGAATATTATGCAGCCGTGAAGAGGAGCGAGGCCCTGACACGGCTGCACGTGGACGGACCTGAACCCACGACACTCAGGGAGAGATGCAGACACAGAAGCACATGGCGTGTGATGCCATTGACGGGAAACGTCCAGAACAGGCAAATCCACAGACAGAGAGTGGGCTCGTGGGGGCCAGGGGCTGGGAAGGGGGTGGGGGTTCATTTTGGGGGATGGAATGTTCTGGAATTAGACCATGGTGATGGTTGCACAAGTCTGTACAAAAATTCTCTGAAGTGTACACTTAAATGGGTAAATAGTAGAGTATGTGAATTATGTCTCAATAAAGCTGTTATAAAAATTGTTTTAAAACCAATCGTGAATTTAAAAGGATAAAAAGTTTTTTACCGTAAATCAGCTCAAAATCCTCCCATGATCCCTCATCATGCTTTAAACACCCAAACTCCTCATGACCCACAAGACCCACATCAGCTGGCCCTGCCTCCTTCACCCTCGCCCTCACACCGCTCCAGCCACACTGGCCTCCCTACTGTTCCTCCAGTGCACTGCCCTCATTCCCACCTCAGGGCCTTTGCCTGTGCTGTTCCGGTAGCCTGGAGTGCCTTTCCCTTGGACATTCCCAAGTCTGGCTACCTCACAGGGCATCTGCTCAACAGTCTTCTCCTCAGAGACCTCCCCCCAGCCTCCTTAATACAACCTTCCTCCCCTCCTCCGCTCTGTTGTCTTCCCAGAGCTCACTCCTCCCTGACATTGTATCGAGCACAGACTTGCTCATTACCCATCTATTCCCAGCAGGCTATGAGCGATGCCAGGGCAGGCCCTGAGCTGGTCTTGTCCACAACAGGCCTAGAACAGTATCTGCACAGCAAATACTGACAGGTGGATGAAAGGATGGATGATGGATGGATAAGTGAATGGAGGGAAGGAAAGAAAGAAAGGAGAGAGAAAGGAGGATGGATGGATGGATGATAGATGATGGGCGGATGATGGATGATGGATGAATGGATGATGGGTGGATGAAAGAATGGATGAAGTAGACATGGATGGATGGATGATGGATGATGGATGGATGGATGATGGATGGACATGAATAGATGATGGATGGATGGATGGTGGATGGATGATGGATGGCTGGATGGATGATGGATGATGGATGGATGGATGGATGATGGATGGATGGATGGATGAAAGAATGGATGAAGTAGACATGGATGGATGGTGGATGGATGATGGATGGATGGATGGATGATGGATGATGGTGGATGGATGATGGTGGATGGATGGATGATGGTGGATGGATGGTGGATGGATGATGGTGGATGGATGATGGTGAATGGATGGATGGTGGATGGATGGATGGATGGAGGGATGGATGATAAATGGATGAAAGAAAGGACCAGAGGAAAGAAAGGAGAAAGGATGATGTATGGTTGGATCCCTATCTCACTGGGTCCCCAGTTCATCACAGAGCCATTTTCATCCAGCCCGACCAGAATCCTGGGCTACCCACCACCCACCCACCTCCTCCCATCTCAAGTCCCCAGGCACCCAGTCCTGGCCAAGCACATGTGGTTTGGGGAGGCCGCCAGCTGGGGCTCACATTCCACCTCCGTCCCTCCCAGTTGGGCGACCCTGGGCAGGGGGCCTCACTCGCCAGGCTGTGGTTTCCTGCTCTGCAACTTGGGGTTGTATCTATGTGCTATGACGGGCCCTGCCTCCTGGTGCTGCTGGGGGGCGCACGGCCTGCACCCGCCCCACGGTCCGTGAGTCCAGCTCGGGGTGAGGTGCGAGGGGCGCAGGATCTACCCTGGAGAAACCTGGGGGACATCAGCTCCACCAAGTGATCAAGGGGCGGCAGCAGGAAGGGGGCGAACACAGCCCCGTCCGTGGTTCCCGCTGGAAATGCACAACCTGGACCCGGCCCTGGGGACACAGCAGACAGGCCCACACCCATCCCAAGGGGACGGAGAAATTGTCCAGAGTGGAGGAGACCAAGGGGAGCTGGATTTCCACTCCCACGGAGGACGCCATCTGGGCAACTGCCGATCTGAGTAGGTCTGCAGGTTGGCGACAGCACCGTGGCACCCGGCACGTGAGAGGCTGTCCCTATCACAGCAAACATGCCCAAGCATTTAGGGGCGAGGGCCGTGCGTCTGCAACTCACTCTCAAAGGGCTCAGAAAAATACCAATCAATACGTCCATTCCTATCTGATAGAGACGCCGGCGGGGGCACCGTAAGGCAGCTGGGACGGCACGTCCACAACCGTGCAGTCTGGGAGGAGAACACGGGCCATCCGTGCGACTCTTCTGTGAGATCAAAACTAAGTCAAAGTGAAACAATTTAAAATATCGGTCCTGAGACGACCTCACCTCCACCTGGGGCCCTGCTCAGGCCTGGCCCACCCTTGGAATTCACTTAGACGAAACCCTCACAGCTCTAGTGAGATGCAGCTCACGTCCCCTAAAACTCACCATCGGGAGCGCCCCGTGCATTATGGTTGTGCAACCGTCACCACCACCTAGTTCCAGAACGTTCTCATCACCCACCAGCAGCCCTCTCCACACTTTTTAAGAATTCCGGTATTTTTTCCCTAGGTCATCCGTGTGCCTGGCCCAACATTTACAATGGAGAGTCACATTGGCGGAAAGTGGAACTCTCTCCCTCCCACCCTGTTCTGGAGCCTCTTTCCAGAAACGTCCCGGTCGCCGGGGGCGACCCTCACAGACCCTGTTAGAAAAGAAACCCCCGCCTCGGGCTCCCCGGCCCGTCTGCCCTTCCCTGGGGGGACACCGCAGGGGCAGCTGCCTCCTTCTTTGCAGAGCAGACGCCATCTCTCCCATCTGTCCCTTTCTGGCGACAGTGGGGCCGTTTCCAATCCGCATTTTGACACCCAGGGCTCTGCCTCCCACTCGTGGACCCCGGGGAACCTAAGCTCCGGGCCTCAGTTTCCCCACTTGGCTCCAGGCCCCACTCACCTGCCCTCAGGGCCCCCAGGACCAGCAGCAGCAGCGGCAGCAGGGACGAGGGTGCCTCCATGGTGTGGGGAGTCAGCGGGGTGCAGGCTCCGGCCCCCGGGCCTCTCACTTACCCCTTCCTGTGGGGGAGGCCGCATTCACACCTGCCCCGCCCCGTGTACTTCACCGTGAGCATCTCAGAAAGACGTGGATTCTGAAGGCAAAACTGCATCCTCGTTATCACACCTGAGACGAACAAAATTCCCCTCGTCATCCGGCACCCCGTCACCCTCACCCCTGTCACACATGTGGGTTTTTTGTGGTTTTAATGTGTCTTCTTTGCCTCATTTTTCTTTTACGGAGAAATGCACATCACATAAAATTCACCGTCCTCACCATTTTCACATTTGCACAGCTCAGCGGCATGAAGCACATTCACGTGGCTGTGCAGCCATCCCCTCCATCCATCTCCAGAACTTTCCATCTCCCCAAACTGCAGCTCTGTCCCCATGAAACACTGACTCCCACCCCTCCCCCAGCCCCTGGCCCCCCGTCCACTTTCTGTCTCTGTGGATGTGGCTCCTCTGGGGACCTCCTGTGAGTGGACCACACAGTGTGTGTCCCTCTGTGTCCGGCTCACGTCACTGAGCATCACATCCTCCAGGTCCCTCCACATTGGAGCAGGTGTCAGGACCTCCTTCCTTTTCATGGCTGCATAATATTCCAGGGTGTGGATGGACATACTGTGTGGATCCATCATATGTCTGTGGATATTTGGGCTGTTTCTACTTTTTGGTTATTATGAATAGAGGCGGTATGGATGCTTGTGGGCCATGAGGAGTTAGCTCCCCCGTGTGGAGGGCTGTGATGGGCTAGTGAGGCTGGGGGGGGCAGGTGTGCAGGCTTCCTGGGGCTCCCGTCCCCGCCTCCTTCACAGCCCGCCCCTCCCCCACACCATAGGACCCAGACCCCTGAGAGCTCCATCCCCTGGCTGCACCATTAGCTCAGGGCAGAGAGGACCTCCCTACGCCAGCCCAAAGAAGACCACGGCCCAGATTTCTTCTGCTTGAACTTCTCAGAAACAGCCCTCACTTCCTGCTGGACTGGGAGCTGCAAGGATGTCAGCCTGGGGTGGTCCCAAGGCAAGAGGAGTCCAGCTGAGAACGAGGCCATATGGAGAAAGCTGAGCTTGGGGTGTGTGCGTTTCCTCCTGCAGCTGTAACAAATTAACAAATTACCATACATTCAGTGCCTGAAACCACACAAATTTATTTTCTTACTGTTCTGAAGTCTGACACGGGCATCACTCTTTGGGGCTGTTCTTCTGCTGACCACAGGTGGACGGAGACTGAGTCTGGACAGAAGCAGCTCCCGGATCCAGCTATGCCTGAAACCCTGAGCCTTGTCAGTCAACGAAATTCAATGAAATCCCTTTTTGCTTGAGTCAGTTTGAGTTGGGCGTTGTGCTTTGTGCTATCGAAAAGGTCACAATAAATAAAGGAGAAGTGGCTGGAAAAACTGATGCCAAGAGGTGATGAACTCACTGTTGTGCTGGGGCTCTGGGAGCACGTCCCCATCCAGTCTCTCACTTGATGCCGTCTGGCACGTGGGGTCCTGGAATTGGGTCTTCACCCAGTGGGGTGCATGGGGCCAGGGATCAGTTTAGGAGGAACCAGCATCTATAGAGTCCCGTCCTGTCTGATCCTGACGACCCCGGGATGTGGCTCCATCTACTGGGGTGGCCGGATTCAGCCACTGAAAACAGAGGGTGCCAGTTCAGTCCAAATTTCAGACAGACAAGGGGAACCTTCTTGGTCCAAGTCTGTCCCACGTGGCACGGACATCCTTACAGCGAGAACTACTTGTTCCTCTGAAATTCACACTTAACTGGGCGACCCTAATGCTTATCCTCGTTTTGAGCTTAAAACACTGAGGTTTCGAATGTTGAGGCCACTTGTCCATATCAGGGTTACAGCACTCGAACCCAGAGCCTCAGATGCCGCAGTCAGATCCGCAGCGGAAGCTCCCTGGGGCCGTGCGGGGGGGATGGTCTGGGGGGAAGGGGACGGGAGCGTTGCCGTCTCATAGGTCGGGGTCACCCGGACAGGCGGAGCGGGGACGAGCTGGCCCAGAGTGCCCTGAGGCTCTGACCCAGGAAGCCGAGCTCACAAATGGGCGGTGGGCCCGCATCCATCACTTTGGGGGCCTGTCATGCAGCAGCGGCAGAGGGGACGGTGGAGGGAGACGTCCGCGGCAGCGAGTGGAGGGGCCAGGGGCAATGGGGTCCCGCGACGACCGCGGGACAGGGTGGGGAAGCTTTTCCATGAACGTCTTTGGCTTTTCAGCCGCTCTGTGCCTCGACGACGACTCGACTCGGGTCCAGGAATCTCTCTGCGCCATGGGCAGCGGCCGGCCCCGCCCTTTCCTCCCGCACCCCCCCCCCCCCCCCCAGGACTGCTGCCACCTGCTGGCCCCACCGGTGCGACACAGGCCCCTCGCCGGCCTCAGCCCTGGGAGCCGCCTGCAGGTCACACAGGGGTCGGCCTGGCCCCGGCACCTGCGAGAGCTTGGAGGGTCCCACGTGGGGCCCGGGGACACCCGGTGCTCCGAGAGTGGGATGGCTGGTGACACGCAGGGCTCAGCGGTGGCCGAGGCGGGGGGAGGATGAGGACGGCCCGTGGGTCAGCAGGACGCGGCCGTGTCCCGTCCGGGGGCCTCGCTGGCCCCAGGCTGCCCGCCCTCCAGGTTTAAGAAAAGCCAGAACTTGAGAAGACTGGGTGAAACCCTCCATGTTGTAATGTTCACGTTAGGAGAGAGGCGGAACCACGGGACCACGGGGGCTGCACAGGCCCGTGGGGCCCGCAACTGTGAGGGCCCGTCCAGGCTCCAGGCACGCACCCAGGCTGACCCATTGGGCCTTCGTCCTGATGTCAGTCAGCCGCAACGGACTTTCTGTGACATGGAAGAGGACCAGGGCCTGGGTGGCGTCGGGGACGGGTGCACCCTGTGGGTGCTGGGGGCAGAGGGGCTGCCTGGGGCCAGAGCAGCGATAGCGCCCCCACCACGGGGCCCTGGTGGGCCTGACCCAGCCGTGCCTGGGACCCTGGCTGGCGGCGACTTGCAGGCTGGACGGGCGCTGCGGGGTCGTTCCCGGGCTGGAGACCCAGGATGGGGGCTGCACCCTGGGCCTCGAGAACCCTCCTTGACCCCTGGCCCTCCCCCAGGCACAAGGGCGGCCGCGGCCCGCCTGACCCGGTCACTTGCGTGGCTGCTGCAGGCGCGAGCCGGCCGGGCACCTGGGGACAAGCAGCCGTCCAGGTGGCCAAGGAGAGGGAGCTGTGGCTTCTCGTAAAGTCGCTTTATTTAGATTCCAAACAAACCAAAGCAGAGAGAAGAGGCGACCGCGAGTCACTCCGTCCACTCGTGAGCCGGGAGCCCCAAGCCTCCACTGCGGCCGGTGGAGCTGCGGACAGGCCGGGACGGTCCCTCGGGTCCCCGCGGCTCCAGGCCCACCCGCCCGGCCGGCCCGGCGCCCAGCTCCTAGCTCCCGCGGGGCCCCGGGCCACAATGCAGGCCCCTCTCCAGCGGAGGCGGACGCGGGACGCGCGGACCGAGGCGGGAGCGGGGGGACCGGGCCGGCGTGCCGCCCGTGAGGTAGTCTCGGCGTCGGGCGCTCAGAGCCCACACAGCCGGCCGCTGAGGTAAAATCTGCACGTTTATTCGGCCGGGACGCGACGTCACGACTCCTCGGTGCCCGAGTCGTCCTCGTCCCCAAAGCAGCTGTCGGCCTCGGCCTCGGCCTCGGCGTCCTCGTAGTAGTCGTCGTAGAAGAGGTCTGAGCCCTCGTCGGGCGCGGGCGCCTTGGTCTGCACGCAGTACTCGGCCAGCGTGGTGGGCACCTTCACGCCGTCCCGCTCCGCGTCCACCTTGGTCCCCAGGACCTGCTTCCTGCGGAGACACGGGGCGTCAGCGACACCGACGGCGGGCGGGCGCCAGGACCCCACGGCCGCGCCTCTGGGGGAGAGGGTGACTGCGTGCAAGGCTGGGGGACACACGTGGACGGAGCAGCGGGAGGGTGCGCGACCCGGCCCGCACCACAGGGACCTCAGACTGCAGGGACACGACCCCGAGACCCTCTGCCCACGGCAGCACCGCCGCGGGCGACGGGAGGAGGGACTCACGCCCCGTCCTCGTGCTTCTGTGAACAGGGAGGGACAGACGGGCAGACCCGCGGACGGGCCCCAAGGCCGAGCCCACCCTGCAGACGCAACACGGATCCCCAGAGCGGACGGATGCTGGGGCTCACCCCTAGGAAGACGCACACAACAGACACCGCACACGGCCGCGGGCACAGAGCCGGCACACCCGCGGCTCACGCGGAGCACAGCACGAGCCCCCAGCGAGCGTGACCCCCGCCCGCCGTCCCGGCAGGAGCTACGTCAGAATGAGCACCGTGCATTATCGGCCACAGACATGGGAACGTCTGAGCCCCAGGCAGGCTGGGGACGTGGCCAGGGTGGCCGACAGGCAGAGGAGCTGTCGCCCTCACCCACGTGGCCACGGGAGCCGCCACAGCGAGGCTCGAAGATAAAAACAGCCCGGTGCTTATTGTGATGCCACGTGGGAGGGCAGCCGGGAGAAACAGGCAGAGAGCAGCTGATGGCACAACCCTCGGGAGCCCAGCGCGTTCACCCCGACTGGGGGTCAGTGCCTCGCGGCTCCACAGCACCTCCCAGGACAGCCAGTGGGACCAGCGCCACCTGCAGGGACGTCCATCACAGCCGTTCAGGCCCCAGAGTGACAGCCATGACCGCCCAGCACGGAGGACAGCCGCTCCGGACGGTGGGGACGCAGAGGAGAGCCCCTCAGGCGTGTGTGTGGGGCGCAGCAGACACAGTCACCACGAGGCACCGTCGCGGTTGTTCAGAAACTGCTCCCGTGAGACACGCAGACACCACCCGACAGGGCATGTGAGGGACGAGAGCGCGTCCCCGGGGAACGGGACTTCAGGATAAATGGGTGGCGGCCTGCAGAGCAGACAGAGACCCGGGAATGGAGCCGTCACCCCAACACACCCCCACGCCCGTCCACACGTGCGCCCCTGTCTGCGTGTGCATGTCTGCTCACCCGTGTACACCTGCCCACATGCGTGTGCCTGTAATGTGCACACCTGCCCACTCACGTGTGTCAGAGGTGGGCACTGGTGGGGCCACACGCCGTGTGACAGGATGGTGCAGGTGTGTCAGTCCCCATGGACGGGCCTCGAAGGTCAAGTGAGAGCAGTGGCCTAGGGAGGCTGTCCTCTGTGTCTCTAGATGTGAGGTCAGGGGTCAGAGGTCGGGGAGGGGGGTGATTGGGCCAGGAGAGAGGTCCAGGGCTGGACATCTGGAAGGAGACCCTAGACGTCGTCCTCAGTGGCTGGGGCCGTGGGGTCTTCTTGGCTCTGGTCTGAGATTTTTCTCCCTTGTGAATGTGCTCCCTCCGTCGCTCGGGTCTGTCGCCTCCTCGCCGAGCGCTGGGCCGCGTCTCCCAGAGACCGTCCCCCAGGCCCTTTGCCTTTCCAGCCCCACTCCGGTGCCACGGTGGGGCCCTCTGACGTGGCGTGGACAGGCCGTGGCTCCTCACCCTCCACCCATGATGCCTCTGGGCTGTCGCCAACGTCTGGGGCCCGAAGTGTCCTCACTGTCTGCGTGGACGCAGGGGGGACACACCCTCGGCTTCCCGTGGGCACAGCGTGGGCCTCGAGGGGCCGGGTCAGGAGGCAGGGGTGCGTCTAGCTTGTTCGCTTTCCTAACTGAAGGCAAACGACAACCGACAATGTCGGAAAAACCTAACGAAGGATTAAGTTTGTCTCAAAAGACGCCAGCAGACCCCGCGCTGAACAGGGACAGCGGGCGGGGGGCACGAGCGAGGAGGTGGCGCCTGCGCCCTGAGAACCGTCTAGCGCAAGATCCTCAGCAAAGACCTTCACCCGTTTGCTTGTGAGGGAAACACAGGAAACAACTAGAATGAGGGGCTCAGTTCCAGCGAGACCCCAGTGACCCGTCGCCTTAATCACCAGAAAAGCTACTCCTTAGAAGAGAAACTGTTACTGAAACGTGCGACACCATGACCCTCCTGCCTCCAAAGACGACTCCGGGTTTCACAATCACGAAGGTGAATGACGCCCATGGACTGTCACATGGAGAAGAAAGACTGACGCAAAACACAGTCTCAGTGACACGAAAAACACCCTCCCCAGAAGGAGGGGCATGAAGCCAAGCCAAGGAGCAGAAGCCAGCAGAGGGATACACATGCACACACATGAACAGGCAGACACACGAACACGCAGACACACATGAACATGCAAACACACATGCACAAACACACATGAAGACATGAACACACAAACCCACGCATTAACACAGACATGTGTGAACACAGGTGTGCACACACGAACAATACAGTGCAAACCTGCAGATGCACGCAGACACGCACGTGCACATACACATGCACAAATACGCAACCACACCCATGCCCCGATGTGGGTCAGGTGGCACCCAGAAGCTGACAGCAAGCCCAGCCTGGCTGTGGGACACACACACTGGGGCCAAAACGCCAACAGTGGCCCCGCGTCCTGAGAGGTGCTGCCCGTGGGGGAGGGCGCAGAGGAAGACGGGATCCTGGGGCTTCAGTCACGAGGTGAAGGGCTGTGGGGACCCTGTAAAGCTGTGAGGGCGCCTGGGTGTTAGCATGTGCACCACAATGTCAGCCTGTGTGCGAGGCAAGCGCATTATGCACACGACGGGCGTTAAGCTGCACACGCGTGTCTCCGTGTCACAGTAAACACACGGACCACGACTGGGAGATCTTGACGCGAAAGAAAAGAAACACTGAGTTTTCTGAACCAGGGGAAGAGCCCAGGAAGCGCTGGGCCTGAGCCCGCTGGACCCTCTGCGGCCCCAGTGTCCCCGCCAGGCCCGCCAGGAGCCCTCACCGGATGATGTCCGTGTACTCGCGGTCCCTGCCCTTGCTCTCCTTCCACTTGCGGTACATCACCGAGGCGTCCACGTTCGCCGGCGAGAAGGTGTTGGGCTCGTTGAGGAGGGAGATGACGCTCAGGAGGATGGTCCTGGGGGAGCAGGGAGCCAGGTGTGGGCACGTCCGCCCCGGAGTCCGGCCGACGCTGCAGCAGGAGCCGCAGGCTGTGAACGGCCGACGCGGCTGCCATTTATGGGGGGGACACCCCGAGTCCCGGCTTCCTGGCTCCTCAGGCCCGAGTCACTGCGGGGCTCTGGACGTACCGTGAAGCCAGCACCCGCCCAGGGGCCCCGTCCTCCCATCCCCCCTCCCCGGCAGGCGATGTTGGTCAGGACTTACCCCCAGGACAGGAGGGGAGGAGCACTGAGCAGCCCTACCAACCGGGCCCCTCCTGCCCTCTGCCCGGCGCCAGGGATAAGACGCCTGGGCACCCTCCTTCCACCCGTCCCCATCCCCTGGGTGTCCCCGTCCCCTGGACGTCCCTCCTGGGGAGCAGGCCCCTCTGTGCCAACTTCCACTACGGCTGGGACTGCACTGAGGATGCCTGGGCCCAGAGGCGGGGTGCCCGCTCAGGGTGAGAAGCTCACCCCCAAGATGGCAGAGGCTGAGAAAGGAGGAGAGACCCAGGGGCAGGGAGCCACAGACCCAGGATCCCCAGAAGCCAAGCCTGACGGCGGGCGGGCAGGACGTCGAGGAAGGAGGGAGAGGCCAGTAGATCGAGCCCTGGGGACTCCAGGGCCCCCGCATCCTGGTGGGAGGCCAGTCTGAACAGAGGCTGCGGCCCCAAGGACCACACAGGTTTGTCTTCCCAGGTTCATATCCCCAGGGCTGGCCGGGCCCAAGGAAGCAAGGTCAGGAACGGGGGCCCGCCCGCCTCACCTGACGTTCTGGGTGGGGTTCCACCGCTCCGAGGGCAGCTCCCCGCTCTGGGGGTCGTCGACGGGGGGGTGGAGAATGGAGATGCACACGTCCCCCGTCTGCGTGGAGACAGAGAGAGGGAGGGGTCAGCGGCTTCTGTGGCGGCACGGCCTCCCCCCACCCCCGTTACAGAGGAACTGGAGAACAGGCTCACCTCGTAGATGTTGGGGTGCCACATCTTGGTCAGGAACCGGAAGGCCGGCGGGGAGTAGGGGTAGTCGATGGGGAACTTGAGGCGCGCCTGTGTGGGGATCAGCGGCTCAGCCAAGATGACCTGGTTCCCGAGCACCGTGTACCGCTCGGGGACTCCGCCAGCAAACACACAAACAGGACGATGGCCTGGGATGGATACCCCATCAGGACGGGTGGGTGTGCTCGAGGGACCCTGCTGGCTGCCCACGCCACGGCGGGCCTGGGGTCCGGGCCACAACAGGCCACCTTGGCTTTTGGGGGTCTGTGGGCTGAGTGGCCTCCACCCGCTGTCGGGGCTCCCAGCTGCTGGCCTGAGGCCCTGGGAGCCGTGTGCCCCGAGCGCGCACTTGGGCTCCCGCGCCTCAGTTTCCAGTTACGGAGGGGATTAAAATAGCCGTGTGTTCACTCAGCAACCGCTCCTGCCGCCGCCACGGGCCGGGCCGTGGGCAGAGATGAGTCAGCGCAGGGCGGCCGGCACTCTGCCCGCAGGTGTCCCTCTGGGGGGTCAGGAAGGCCGAGCAGAAGATCACGGCAGACGGGGGGAGGGGCGCCGCCCAGGCCCTGGAGACAGCCAGGCCCACCTCGGGAGAGCTGCCCTCACAGGCAGGGGCTCAGGCCTTCGGGAACAGCCCCTGTGCCACGGGGTAAGCATGCTGAGGCGACAGGACAGCCCGACAACAGCACAGGCCTCCCTGCACTGACACCCACTGTTCCCACTGCGAACCTCACTTCACGCGCCCACGGAGACGCCGCTACCGCTGAGCAAACCGAGGCTCAGAGACGGAAAGCACTGTGCCCAAGGGCAGACAGCAAGTGAGGTGCAGAGCGGGCTCTGGAACCCAGTCTCCCCGGCACCCCCCTACACACCAGGGGCCGTCTACGGCTCGTAAAAGGAGAAGTGGGCATGGCTGGGCTGGCCGGGAGGAAGGCGGAAGCAACCCACAGAGACCCAGGGGCACGTCCTACCCTTGTATTTCCACATCTCCTGGGAAGAGAAGCCCCGCCCCCCCCGCCAGACACAGACTAGAGGACCAGATGGACGGCAGAACCACGCAGAGTCCCAGGCTGGCTCCCCCGAGGACACACCCCACGGCAGCTGTGATGAACCCTCTACTCTCCTCTAGAGAAATGGGATGACCCCGCAACGCCAGCCTGGGAGCTCTACCCACAATCCCTTGCAACCAGTTAGTGGGCAACAGCGAGACCCACGTTCGCTCCTCCCAGACAGGCAACTTTGCTTGGGATCCTGGCCTGGCCTCAGGGGAGACCCTATTATCCCAGCTCTGAGCCATTATCCTCACAACTAGCCAGCCTAAAGCAGACAAGAGAGGCTGGGAAGATGACTGCTGACACCATTCAGTGACCAAACCTGCTCCAAGCACGAGGAGGCTGGATTCCAGATGCAGAACTCATCACAGGGCAGTCCACACTCACCCCCGGCCCCATGCCAGCACAAGGGACCTTGACTCAGGGGTCACGTCCAGCAGACCTGGCCGCCCCCTCATGGCCACGCAGCAGGCCCGCCTAGACATGAGCCCAAAGCGCAGACACAGACGTCTGCCCACCCCTCCCCGCGGCTGGCGGGCTGTGGCTTCTGCAGGGCTCCTGGCAGGCTGTGACCGGGTTCCTCTGCTGAGGCTACTCCCTACCTGGTGTGCAGGGAGACCCCCGCCTCGAACCTGTGGCTCAAAGAGCAGACGCCCCTGCCCTCTGAGTGGGGTCCTTCTGAGGCCACGCCTGAGCTCAGGTCACGAGGTCGAGAGTGCTGCCTGGGTTTTGGTCCGAGTATCCTGTCACTCCAGACAGAAACAGCTGGCCCGGGAAGCACTCACCTCCCTGCTCCCAACAACCCCCACCAAAGGGAACCCCTTGGAACTAAACCACCGCAGAGGACAGGAAAAATGGCCCAGAGCCTGAGACTCGGGCCCCCAGGAGCCACCTGCTCAGTGGAACCTGAGAAAGGCCAGCTGGGGCAAGAGGAGCCCAGCTTCTGCAGCCAGGGTCAGGGTGCTGGCAGGAGCTGGGGCCCAGGGTCCGCGGGACACCCTCTGCAGTGGGTGCAGGCACAGGGTGGAGGATGGAAGAACAGCCTCAACCTCCCCAGGACAATGTGTTACATAAAGCCCAGGATGAAGCCAAGGACCCGGCCCCTGCTATCAGCCAGGATGGCCGCTCTCCAAGCAAGTCCTGCTGCCAAGGCCCATCCAAGCCTTTGTTGGAACCCGAGCAACTGACCCAGCGGCCACCCAGGGCTGGCCTCCCTCCCCCCGCTCCTCCCTCCCCAAGGCTGCTGCTCCCCAACAATAGTGCCTTTGGTTCTGGGGAGAGCCCTTTGTCCCTCTGGGCAGGGGCAGAGCAGGCAGCTGAGAGCTGGGTCGGCCAGGGCTCCCTTCCCCTCCCTACAGGGCCGGCCAAGTGGGAAGGAGATGGCACCAGGGAGGTGAGCTTCCCAGGGAGAGGGAAGCAAGATCTCACACCCAACAAACAGGGGCGCAGAGGGGTCCTGCCTCCCCTCTGGGGGCCTGAAGCTGCCTTCCAGGGAACCGGGTGGTTCTCAGAGTTTCCTGAAGGCGGACAGAAGGGAAGACCAAGGGATCCCCCACCCTGACCAAAGGAAGAAGGCCTGGCTGGGGGAGGAGGCAGTCCAGGGTCAAAGCGGGGGGGCCGAAAGAGGAAGGAGGGCATCCAGCTGGAGGAGGAGTGCCAGCGAGGAAAGAGGGTCCTGCAGGAGAAGGAGGGTCGCCTGAGAGGAGGGGGGTTCCAGGAGGCGGGGAGGGTCTGGGACCGGGGCCATAGGAGGAGGAATCGGGGGAGAGGGTCCAAGAGAGGGAACAGGGGCCCGGGAGGACTGGGAGGAGGAGGGACCGGGGGAGGAGGGTCTGTGTCCCGGGGGAGGAGGAGAGTCCGGGTCCAAGGAAGAAGGGGGGTCCGGGGCAGGAAAGGAGGATCCGGGGCGGTGGAGGAGAAGAATCCGTGTCCCGGGGGAGGAGGGACGGGGGAGGAGGATCCGAGGCGGGGGAGGAGGAGGATCCGAGGCGGGGGAGGAGGAGAGTCCGGGTCCAGGGGAGGAGGGGGCTCCGGGGCGAGGGAGGGGGCTCCGGGGCGGGGGGGGGGGGCCGGGCCGGCGGCCGCGCACCTTGAAGTAGCCGCCCTCGTAGTAGGTGTTGGGCGGCCCGAAGATGGCCACCTCCCAGTTGTACAGGTCGCCCTCGTCCACCAGCGTCACGCGGAAGCCCTCCACCGGCTCCTCCTGCAGCCCCTTGAGCTCCAGCAGCAGCGCCTTCTGCGAGCTGGGCACCAGCGGCCGGGCCATGGCGGCGGACGGGCCCGGGGCCGCGTCGGGGGCGCGGGACGGGCCGGGGCCGCCTTCCTCCTCCTCGCCGCCGCCGCCGCCGCCGCCGCCGCCGCCGCCGCCGCCGCCGCCACCCGGGGACCCCGAGCGCTCCACCCGCTCTGGCGCCGCCGCCGCCCGGCGCTCTCTGGGCCCGCGCCCCGCCCCGCTGCGCCTGCGCGACCCCCGCGCTGGACCGCGCCTGCGCGCCCCCGCCGCCCGCGCCTGCGCGCCCGCCCGCGGGGCACGCCGGGAAGTGGAGTCCCGCCCCGTGCACGCGAGAACGGCCGCCGGAGGGAGGGACCGAGCGCGCAGGCGCCGTGCGCTTCCGACCCCGGAGGCGGCAGCTTCCCGGCCGGACGAGCACGGACCTGTGCGCGGGAGGCGGCGGAGGTGCCCTGAGACCCGCGCCCGCCCGCCCGGCCTTGGGGCCTTTTTTGTGACGTCCTCGCGCGGGGCGGGGCCGGGCCGGGCCGGGCGGAGGGAGGGGCTGGGGCGGCCAGACCCCCTCCTCCGCGGCCCGAGCCTCAGTTTCCCCGTCCGTCCCCGCCGGTGCTCCGGGCGGGCAGACGGGGAGCCGGGCCTGTGCGGGGAGGCGGGAGGGCAGGCGAGCGCCCGGCCCGCAGACCGGGTCCTGGACGGGCGGTACCTCAGTTTCCCCTCAGAGGGGCTGAGTACGGGGTGGAGCTGGCCCGGACCCCAGGGTCAGCGGGGAGGCCCCAAAGTTCCCCCGCGGCTGGATTCACTTCAACGGGCTAGAATCCCAGCAGATCGGCGCTGCGCCCCCGAGAAGCTGGGGAAGAAATTAGCTCTCTTCCCGGTTCATTCAGCCCCACTCCCGGCCAAACCCCCGGACTGAGCGCGACCCTCGCTGCGCCCTGATCTCAGGCTGACCTTCGACCCCACCCAAGTCCTGACCCTGGGCTTCACTGGACCGCCTGAGCTCCGACCTGGCTGAGGGCAGGCCCAGAGGCCCCTCCCCAGGACACTTGGTCAGGAGGGTGGGCGTCGCCCCCTGGCCTCCATCCCTCCCATCTGCAGGTGACAGCCCCCCAAGAAGGGGGCCGTGGCACCTGGGGCCTGTTGTGGCCCTGGCCCTGGGGCCTTGCTGCCAGGTGTCACTTCGGGCTGGGCTGAGCTGGCTCCCTCCCCCAGGTGCCCTCACACCTGGCCCTGGCCTCATCCAGCTGGGGGCAGCAGGTGACCCTGTGTGGGGGAAGGAAGACAGAGTGTGGGCGGTGGGGAGAGGTGCAGTGTCACAGCATTGGCATGTGGCAGCTCGTAGACAATGAGAATTAATCAAGATTCTTCCAGAGAGGTTTCCCAAGATCTCTCTACACGACACCCCACATCCCTGGGGCGTGTTGGGTGGGTGGGCGGAACTGGAAATGTAAAACGAGGTACCAGGTTGATGGCCTCTCCAGCTGGTCCCATGTGGGGTCTCGTCTCCGGGGAAAGCCTGCTCCTCAGGCTCTGAAACATCATGGGGTGGTGGACGTCTGGGGTTTCTGCCTTAGCACCTTGGGTTCTGGCCATTGCACCTCGATTTTCCCTTTGGGGGTCCCCACTCTTAGTCTGTGAGGTTGGAATTGGACTGACCCTCAAGCCCTGGCTGCAGGGATGGTCATCCAATCAGAGGGCTCCAGGACCCCTGGCTGCAGTGGCTGGTTCAGGAACAGTATGTGACTGAGCCATCCTGGGAGTTTTTCTGGGAACACGGCACTGGGGTGGCTGAGCTGGGAGGACCTGGGCCTGGAGATATGGGACCGTTTATCACCACAAGGCCTGTGAACAAAGCTGACACTCAGGAAAGCTGAGCCGACTGACAAGACAGGCAGATAACCCTGTCTGTGCTCCTGGATACAGCCATACCTGACCCCCCCTGAATGCACCAATGATGCAAGCTGATAAGTTACTTCTTTTCTTATGAAGCCAGTTTGCGTTGGGCCTTCTGGCACATGCCAAAGAAGAGCCGTGCATTCAAATCTGAGTTCAGCCACAACCTTGGAAATGGTCTTCAAGTGCTAAACCAAGTCTCAGTTTATCTATCTGTTAAATGGGTTACATGATGTTATATTTGAAAGGCTCTTAGCATGGATCCTGAAGATGTTATGGAGGCTTAGACAATAGTGTTTTGGGGCAATGATGCCTCTTGGGAAGAAAGACACAATCTCAGGAGGCAGAGGGGCTGCAGGGGGAGTAAAAGGGGACGCATGGGAGAGAATGTGGCCCCTGCAAGGCCAGCTCTGCCTCCCCCTGGCTGTGCCCTCTGCTACTTACTGTGCTGGAGAACAAGGCCCCCCATAGACAGCCATGTCCTAATCCCGGAGCTGTGGATACACTCCCTCATGTGACAAAAGGGAGTCTGCAGACGGGATTCAGATCCTGGAGATGGGGAGGTCATCCTGGGTCATCCAGGTGGGTCCCGTGTAGTCCCCGGGGGCGGGGGGGGGGCGGGAGGGTTGGGGGCAGAGTGGGCGATGTGATGACGGGCAGAAGATGGAGCGACACACTTTGGAGAGGGAGGAAGGGGCCGTGAGCCCGGGCATGAGGGCGCTTCCAGAAGTGGAGAAGGCAACAGAGAGATTCTCCCCTGGACCCTCCGGAGGGAACAGCCCAGCCCACACCTGGACTTTAGGACTCAGCCCCGGAACTGGGACAGTAAACTTGTGTTAAGTCACTAACTTTGCGGTGACTTGCTACAACAGCCGTGGGAACTGAACACACTTATCTCTATGAACTTCAGATTCTTCCTCTGGGAAACTCATTCATTCGTTCATTCATTCACTCATGGCCTTACATGCACAAATCTAGACGCCGAGGATGCAGCGGTGAACAAAAGGAGCACAAACCCCTGTCCTCAGAGAGGCCGTAAACAAGCTGATGGATAAGCAAGCACTTTCTGGTAGCAGAAATTACCATGAGGAAAAATAAAGTGTGGTGGGTCTTAGTAAAGCGGGTGGTGCAGGAGGGTTATTTTGGGCAGGGGTCAGGGGAGGCGTCTCAGGAGGCAGCAGTTGAGCAGAAACCAGAAGGAAGTGAGCCACCTGGGTCCGAAGGAACAGTGTTCCAGGCAGAGGGAACAGCACGTGCAAAGGCCCTGAGGTGGGGCCAAGCTGGATCACCTAGAGACCAGCGTGCCTGGGGCGGAGTGAGGTGACAGAGACAAGAAAAGAAGCAGAGGAGTCTCTTGGCTCAGCTTTCCTGAGTGCTGGCTCCCTTGACAGGCCTCATGGTGACAAGATGGCTCCAGAATTCAGGCCTCGATCCTCCCATTGTAGCCGTCCCAGAAAAAATTCCTAGGGCTGCATTTCATTGGCCAGCTGGGAGTCACATGCTATTCCTGAACCAATCACTGGGACCAGGGCACCTGGAGCAATCCTCTTGGCCAGTGGGCCCGATGGGTTCTCCCAGGTGAATGAGGATGCCGGCCGGACCACAGGGAGGAGCAGGCTGGACCAAGTTACTAGCTGCAACCAACAGGATGCAGAGCAAGGCCAGCCCCCAATCTCTGCCTCGGTGCCTGGCTGGACCTGGGGCTTCCTCAGAGACCAGACGCCCCAGAGGAGCCCTGGGATCAGGGAGGCTGACGACAGGCTCCGTCCCAGACTTAGCAGACATGAGACGTCCTTGAGGTGCCCCTGGGGAGACGCCCAGCAGGTGGTTGGCTCTCAAGGGCTGGAGCAGGGCAGGGCGGGGCCGAGAGGTGAATTTGAGAACCCTTGGCAACCAGACGGTAACTGAAGCTGGGAGAGGAGGATGCATGAGGAGAGGACGGAGAGGCCCCGGATGGAGCTGGGAGGACACAGTCCCCCAGGGAAGCGGGGAAGAGGAGGCGCGTCCTGTGCGGGATGAGGAAGCGCGTGTTGCTGGAGGCGGGAGATTTGCGGCCCTGCATGGTGCACGCTGCTGCGAGGCCGGGTGAGGAGGGCAGGTCAGCTTCCCGGGCTGTGCCGGCAAAGTCAAGCCAGGATCCTGGCAACTGGGACTTGTGGACCCATGGGTGGGCTGTGGGCTACTCGGTGGAGGCCGTGAGGGAAGCTGGACGGGGTGGGGAGGTGGTCCCGGCCTGAGTCCCCTCAGCCTGATGGGGGGCCCTGGACTGTCAGCTGCCCCCAGACAGCTCCGTCTGAGGCAAGCAGCCGACTTTTGTACCCCCGGTGTCACTCACTGCGGACGCCTGACCCCAAAGGAGGGATGGAGCCTCCTGGGCCGTGTGGCTTCTCCCTCGAGGGGCAGGTGCAAGCTGGGAGGGGGATCTGGTGGCGCCAGCAACGCCGGATGCACACCGCCCAGCCTGGCTTCTGATGACCAGGAGGGAGCGGTTACCCCCGGGGAGCAGAGCCCACCAGAGGGTGCCCGGCCAAGTCTGCTGGGAATCGCTGTGCCCGGGGTCCCGTCCCGGCCTGGAGCCCGTGAGTGAGCTCCGAACCGCAGGGCCTCACCCACGTCTCTTCCCTGCCGCTCCCCAGCGCACGGTCCGGGCCCGAGGCCGCCAGATGCTGACACTTCGGGTGCATTCCCTTTCGCGGGCTCGTGACATAATGGCCACCGCTGACTGAGCGGGCACTTCTTAACCTTCTGCTTCCTATTGTTGTGTAACAAATGGCCCCAGGACACTGTGCGTTAAGATGACAACCGTCCTTTATCTAACTCACGGGTCTGCTGGGCGGGGACCACGTGGCCTGGGCTTCCCCACAACGTGGCCGTGACCCAGGCCTGCCTCCTGTGGGAGCCACAGAAGCCACTCGGGCTCGGGGAGGGGACACAGATGCCACCTCTTGATCCGCCTCTTGAGGGGGCGCAGGCAGCTCTGGACGAGGGCCAGCATGACGTGCCCTGGTTCCTCGGTTCACTGACCACCTACCCTACACCCAGGGCAGGTCTGGGGGTGGGTGGGGACAATGTGGACTCCACATCGGCAGCTCATAAAGGCTTTAAATTCCGCTCCCGTGGGGTCTCCCTCAGTCAGCAGAGGAGTTGTCCTGATGACACTCTATCAGGGGACGACCAAGGCCGAGGGGAGCCACAGACAGCAGTGGTTCCGGGTGCGAATCTGCTCCCTGCGGGCTCTCCGTCCCTTGGGGGGCAGAGGGGGCCAGGCGCCTGGTCAACAGTGACTGGAGGGAGCTTGTGGGCGGGCGTGGATTCCAGAGGAACGGGCAGCAGGTGGGGGAGGCAGTGTAGGGTGTGGGCTCTGGAGCCGGGCCTGGGTTCAAATCCCTGCCTGCTCCCTTGCTGGCTGTGTGACCCTTCCCCTCTCTGGGCCTCAGTTTCCCCATCCGCCTAACGCGGGTGGTGGTCTACTTTCCTCCTGCGGCTGTGCTGAGTGGAATGAGGCTTGCTGGTCTCGAACGTGTCAGCCATTCCGTCACCACTGTCATCAGTATCTCTTCCTCTGACACCTGGGGAAGTTGAGGCCAAGAGGAACTTCTTGCGCTGGGAGTGCGTGGCGAGCAGAGCAGAGCTCCTGGGTCCAGGGCACTTCGCTGGGCGGCCCCGTGCCCTCTGCTCCCGTAAGGCCGAGTCCAGGGTGCCCTGGCGTTTCTAGGTGGGCAGCGGAGGGACCCGGGGGGCCTGACCCGCGTGGACACGGGGCGCGGGCGGGGAGCACACACAGCAGGCCGGCCTCGGGAACAGACTTTATTACCGCCGAGGAGGGGTCTTCGCGGGGCTGGGAACGGGGCCCACTTCCCGGGACCCCCGGCTCCCCCGCAGGGGCTGGGGCGTGGCTCCAGGTCCGAAGCTGTCTGGGGGCTCCCCGCACCCCCGCACGCAGGGCCGCGCAGCCCCGGTCCACGCCGCGTTCGCGCGGGGGCGGCCTCAGCCCACCGGCTTGACCTTGGCGATGAAGAGGGCGGCCGCCTTCCCCAGGAACTCCTCGCGGGTCATGGGGGCGCCGGGCCGCCGGGCCCCCCGCGCGCGGTCCATGGCGAGCGCCAGGCTGTCGGGCCCCAGGCGCGAGCCGGCCTCCAGGTAGCGCGCGGGCGCGGCGGCGTCGCCGGCCTGCAGGGCGCCCTCCAGCGTGTCCAGCACGGCCTGGCCCAGGCGCCGGTCGGCCACGGCCAGGCCCGGCTCGGCCAGCAGGCGGTAGAGCGCGCCGGCGCGCGCCACGAACTCGAGCAGCACGAAGCAGGCGAGCGTGCCGGCGCGGAAGACGCCGAGCGGCACGGCCTCGTGGTCGCGGCACTGGATCTTGCGCAGCAGCGGCGCCACCGCCTCCTCGGGCGCCTCCCCGTCGCGGCACACGCGCCGCAGCAGCTCGCTGTAGGTGCGCCCGTCCAGCCCCGGCCGCTTCTTGCGCCCGCTGGCGCTCAGGCACTCGTAGGCCACGCCGACGTTGTTGTTGAAGGCCGACCTGCGGGCAGAGGGGCGTCGGCGGCGCAGGGGAGCACCCGCCGGCCTGGCCTCCCGGCCCCGCCCCGCCTCCGTCCCCGTCCCCGTCCCCGTCCCCATGCACCAGACCCGGGCCCGGCCTCCCGCCCCACCTCTGACGCCCCAGGCCCGGCCTCCCGTCCCTCATCCCCCCTCACCCCCTCTGCCTCCAGTCCCCCCTCTGTCTCCAGGCCTCTTCTGCCTCCCATCCTCCCTCTATCTCCAGTCCCCCCTCTGCCTCCGAAGCATCAGGCCCGGCCCAGCCTCAGGGCCTTTGCACGGGCAGTGCCCTCTGCCCTGCATGCCCTTTCCCGGACCTCCCCACAGCTCCTCGGTGGGCCCCCTGACTCCATGACACCTTACTCTTCCATCTTCCCTCACGGGAGTTCCTACTATCTGACTTCCTATGTGGTGTCCTCAGGACACTGTGTCTTTCCCACCAGGACATCAGGCCAGGAGCCCAGTCAGGGAGTTCATGTCGGTCACTGCTATGGCCCTGGTGGCCAGAACACGACCCCGCACACAGCAGGTCCTCGAGAAACATCTGCCAGTCAACCCCAGGCATTTGTCCCCAGGGTCCCCCCAATGATGCCTGCACTTAGAGGGGTCACTCTCGGCCAAACACTGTGCCTGGCCGTCAGCATGTGTCCACGCATTTCAGTCCCCCACAGTCCCACAGGCTGAGTCAACAACTATCGTGGGGGGGGGGGGGTCAGACCCCAGACTGCCCACTTCTGTAAAGACAGTCTTACTGGCACAGGGCCACGACCATCCACTGACACGCTGCCCATGGCCACCTTCCTGCTGTGAAGGCAGAGGCAGGCGGTCACGACAGGGACGGGCCACAAAGCAAGAATACCGACCACTTCCCTCACAGGAGTCTGTCCACCCACTGTCGGCCGTGAGAGGTATGGCCTCTTGCCCCACGGGGATCCTGAGGCCCAGCACATACCCGGCTGTGTCGTGAGCTCCAGGAGCAAGCAGCTGGGGGCACTGTGTTGAAGGTGGGGTCTGCGGGGTTAGCCTGCCCGCTGGTTGACCCCGTGTCTCACTCCCCTTGTGGCATCGACAGCCCAGTGTGGGGCCCGTGGTCTGGTGCCAGAGTGTGGGTGGCTCGTTACTATTTCCACTGCAACAATGGGGAGCGAGGCTCAGGGCTGATGGTGGGCCGAGGATCCACAGAGGAAGGGGCTGACCGCGGGGCTCACACTCGTCCCTTCTGGGGGCTCAGCTCCCTGGGGAGGGAGGGACGCAGGGCAGCTCCCTCTCCTCCTGTGTGACCTGGGAATGTCGCCTCACCTTTCTGCAGGCTGGTATGCAGCAGGCGCCCAGTACATGCTGGCAGGTATGATGGGGGATCAGAATTGGCCACCTCAAAATGTCTTTTTGCCTTGCCTTGATTATTATTATCATTTTTTGAGGAAGGCTGGCCCTGAGCTAACATCCGTGCCTATCTTCCTCCACTTTATATGTGGGACGCCTGTCACGGCCTGGCTTGATGAATGGTGTGTAGGTCCATGCCCAGGATCCAAACTGCCAAACCCCGGGCTGCCCGCCGAAGCAGAACGTGTGAACTTAACTGCTGCACCACCGGGCCAGCCCCTTGCCTTAATTTTTTTTTAAGAACAAAAGACTCTGAAAGAAACTTTGACTTCTCCCACAACTGCCCAAGAGAACGTAGGATAGATCTGTCCCCAGGACAGGCCATCACCACAGATGACGCTGGGTATCGCAGACTGGCGGGGTCCTTGCTAAGCCCACTCTCATCAAAGTTCTGTTCGTCAGACATTTGCTTTGCCACGTCCATGTGAGTTGCCTTCCTCCCCTTCGAAGCCCCCAAATGCTCCCCCCAACACCCTTCTTTGTCTTTAGCTGAAGACGGTATTTAAGGTGGCAGCTTGGCCATTCTGGCGAGTTGCTGTTTCCCTGGGTTTCTCCCATGTAAACGTGTTACTAAGCTGTGCGTGATTTCCTCCTGTTACTCTGTCTCATGGTGATTTAATCTGTAGCCCAGCAGAAGGCCCCAGAGTCCGTCTTCCTCCCCTAGAGTATGCAGCAGGCGCCCAGCACATGCTGGCCACTCTGTCACCACTCTGCCCAGTGTGGGGCCTGTGCATGGATGTGCTGGCCCAGGGGCTCCGTGGGCAGCGCCCTGTGACAGAGGAAGACACCGAGGCCAGGGTGAGAGGCCGTCCCTGGGGGGTCTCTCCCAGCCGGCTTCAACCTCGGCCCATCTGGCCATGAGCGCTTCCTCTTCCCATCTGAGCTGCGGCACCCCAGGCAGTGAGATGATGCCGTGAGGTGCTGAGGGTGGGCCAGAGGCAGCCTCACGCTGATGAACGCTCCTGCCGTCATTAGGACTGTCACACGTCAGCCGGCCAGGCCCCATGAGAACATTCGCAGGAGCTCTGTCATCAACTCTCAGCAGGAAGGTGCCCGCAGGGCCATCCCATTGAGTGAGGCATCACCAGTGGCTGCGGAACAGATGCCCACACCAGCAGCCTCAGACGGCAAAGATGTTTACCACATCGCGGGGCTGTGTGTCGGGCTCGGGGCCTTGGCTGGGCTTCCGGCTTGGGGTCCTCATGACCTGCAGCCACGGCAGGTCCTCAGGGCTTGGCTGCCAGGGCTCCCCCACACTCCACGCGGGGCCGCTCAGCTGGAGCCCCAGTGGTCACCTTCCATGGAGGTTCAGAGCCATCATGCTCCCTGCCCCCCGCTGCCACGGCGGCTTGAGCAGGGCCCCCACTGACCCCGCCGTGTGAGGGGAGCGAGCGTCAGCCGTGCCAGGGCCACGGAGGGTCCGGGGTCACCTGTTCGCGCGTGAGGCCCAGCCCGTCCTGTCCAGGGTCCTTGTCACCACCGTCCGCTCTCCTTGCCTGGAGGGGAGTGTCCTCATCCCTGCCTCTCAGACCTCCATGAGCACGGAGGACGGACTCTGTGCTGGGGTGGCCGGTGGCCACGCACGCCGTCATGAGCTGTGACGGGCCACACCTCAGCTGTCAGACGCCATTTCTCTGAGGCTCCCCACCCTGCAGGCAGGAGGACACGACAGGTGTCACTGCCGCCCATGAGGATCCTCAAGAACCCAGAGGAGGTGGCCCCCACCTCTGGGCTGCCAGGCTCCGGGCCACACTCCCAGGCCACAGTCCTGGCGGGTCCCTGCCACCTGCTGAGTCACTGGGGGACACGAGGGAAGCCCACATTGGCCGCTGTGCTCTCGGGCCGCCCAGGCTCCAGTCCCAGCCTTGTGGGGGGAGCCCGGGCTCCGGCCTCAGTTTCCCCATCTGTGGAGCGGGGATCGGGCGCTTACTGGGGGGTCAATCGGCACAGTGCCTGCACAGAGCAGGCCATGAGCGTTTGTTAAAAATATATATATTCATGACGTGTCCCCAGAAAGAGCCATGGACTCACTCCAGACCAGGGCTCTTGACACAGGTGACCCCCAGGGGACACTGAGTGATGTTGGGGACGTCTGTGGTGGTCACACTGGGTGGGTGGGGCCAAGGATGCGACTGAACTCCCCACAGGGCCCCGGATGGCCCCCCAGAGCGTGATCTGAGCTGAGGACCCGCCGTGAGTTTTCCCGGGTCCCAGGGACCCGCGGGAACGGAGCTCCTGCTGTTACTACTGTTAACAAGGAGATGGCCTGGAAGGAAGCCTGGGGCCACACTGCCTGGTCCCACACTGGCTCTGACCTGCTGGCCACGCAGGTCAGCAAGTCCAGAATGACTGTGCTGTGGGGCCTTGAGGCCGGCAGGGGGCACCCTGGTTGACTTCACCCGGATCTTTCGTGATGATGCTCTCAGAGCAGCCAGGACGGCCGGGTCACCCCCTCAGCGTTTGGCAAAGCTTCCTGGCCTCAGAGGGAGCACCCGTCTCCACACCCGGGACCCGCCCAACCCGGCTTCTGCTTCTGGTCCGTCAGGCGAGGTTAAGGGGCTCTGAAGGTGAGCCCGTCTTCTGAGTGATCGCCGCCTCCCCTGCTCGCTCCCCTCCCTCTGGCCCCTGCTGCTCCAGGTGGCCTCCAGCCAAAGGCTCCAACGCTCCTGCGGTGCAGTGACCAGCGTCCCCCAAGACGCACGTCACCTGGAACCCGTGCGTGTGGCCTTATTTGTACATCGGGTCTTGCAGATGCCATCGGTTCGGGGTCTGGAGATGACGTGGCACTAAACCCAGCGCCCAGTGTCCTCACAAGAGAGAAAACAGAGAGAGACAGACACAGAGGAGAGGCCACCAGCCCAGGGACACCAAGGCCCCCAGGAGCTGGAAGAGGCAGGAGGGACCCTCTGGAGGCTCCGGGGGGAGCGTGGCCCTGAGACACCCTGACCTCAGACTTCTGGCACCAGAACTGCAGGAGAATAAATTCCTGTTGTTTTAAGCTGCCAAGTTTGTGGTAATTTGTTGCAGCAGCCACGGGAAGAAAAACACAGCCCCCTGGAGCTCTTAGTGGTGACAGTCAAGAAATAATGTACAACTGAAATCTCACATTGATGTAAACTATTATGAACTCAATTAAAAAAAAAAAATATAGCCCCCTTGGCCCTAAATGGGCTGTTGGACACAGGGCCACCGCCAGCCCACACGGTGTCTCTGTGTGAATTAGGAGAAGGCTCTGCAAAAAGCCTTCACCTGAACATCCTTGTCTGTGGTGTCCACGGGGGTGAGCGGCTTGTCCAGTGCTCGACCTGAACGACTGTACTTGGCAGCACTACAGCTGACTACTCTTCCTCCTTGGAAGACGTCCCGGGTGCCGCTCTCTTCTCATTCCCTCCTTCATGTCCGGCCTGCCTTCTCAAGCTTTTTTGTGGGTTTTCCAAGGCTGGGGCTCCTCAGTGTTGGGTCCTGTGCTCTTCTCAGCTCGCCTCAGGCCTTCACAACCCCTCCCAGGTGACAACCTCCTGTCCCAGTTGCCTGTCTCAGTTGTAGACCCTCCTGTCCACCTTCCTGCTGTGAGGTTCTCCCAGCCCCACGACTTAACAGTCCCAAAGTGACTCTGGAAACTTCCCCCAAACCAGTGACCTCCCATCTCAGCAGACAGCCCCACGGGCCACCTGGGACTCTCCTCGCACGCTCTCCTGCCACCCTGGCCCCAGCACACCCATCAGCTCGACCCTCCCAGCACATCCCAGACCACACACAGCCCACCAACCTGCTCCTCTTCCCCGGTCCCCACCGCAGGGGGTCCCTGGCCCCCAGACGCCCCACCACTCCTTGTATGGCTTTCATCGTGGACACCCCCCCCACTCCCTTCCCCTCTGTCCGTGGGGATGTGGGTGATCTGCTGAGATGCGCGCCCTTCACTGCCTTCCCACACCAGGGCTCCCTCCCGGGCTTGTGACCTGCAGCTGTGACTCTCTCAGGAGTGGGGGTTGCTGGAAGCACCTGGGAATCCCCCGGAAAGCTTCCTTGCTTGGCTTCCTCCCCTTTCCTGGGTTCTCCCGGGGGCACCCCCTTATAAAATTACCCCCTCATGAACGCTCGCCTCAGGCTCTGCTCCCTCCGTGGGTCCCACCCTGCTGCTCTGCAGCCCCCAGGCCGGTGCCCTTGCGCATCAGGCAGGCCTCTTCCTGGACGCCCCTCCTGCCGCCAGGAGCCTCCCCCTGCGGTAGGGCCCTTGGGTGTCCGAGTTGCTCTCTGTCTCCACGGCCCAGCCCTGTCTGTGTTCATTTTCTGGCTGAATGGACGGGGATGCTGGCAACGAGGCAGCAAGAAGGGACCAGGCTCCGCGGCCTTGCTCTGCAACCTTGGGCACTGAGATTTTCAAAGTGGGGTGGGCTGCAAGGGGGAACTCAGCACCTGCAAAGAGCTGTCACAAGGGACGAAGCCTGCCGGGCTATCCGCGGCAGCACTAGCCCATCGCGGCCGCGGTGCACCCGGCACCCGGGAGGCACTGCGGACTACAGTTCCCAGCATGCCCCGCGCGCCACCACCGGCGCCGAGGGCGGAGAGCCGCGCGGAGCACGCTGGGAGTTGGAGTCCAGCTCCCGCCCGCCGCCCGCCCGGGCCCCACCCCGCACCTCTGAGAGTGGTGAGCCAGGCGGAGGTGCCACAGCGCGCGGCCCAGGCGCTGCTGCTGCAGCAGGAGCTGGCCCGGGGGCTCCCCGGCGCCGCCGTTGCCCGGCGAGCGCAGGCCCATGTTCTCGAAGTAGTGCGCCAGGAAGGCGATCGGCTCCTCGGGCCGCGCCTCCAGCACCTTCAGCAGAGCCGCGCGCAGCATCTCCGTCACCCCGACCTGCCGCAGGAAGTCCTCCTCGCTCTCGGCCGTTGCCGCCGCCCGGGACACCACCGGCCGGCCGCTGTCCGGGAAACTGGCCGCCGGGGCCACCGCCGGCCGCCGCTTCTCCACTGCCGCCATCTTCGCTGAGGGCAGCGGGACCGGAAGCGCCGCCATATTACACTGCGCTGGCGCCGTGGGGCGGCCATCTTGGTTAAGGGCAGAGAGCTCGGGGATCCCGCGGGGAGAGTCTGGGAAATGACTCGCGCAGATCCTTCTCTCCCTGGGTTCTAGTCGGCACTCCCCCTCGGGTTTTCTCTTTCCGTGGACTGGTTGAGTTTCCTGGCTCGGGTCCGGAACCTGAATTTTGCCAGACTCCAAAATGGCTCCTCAGGCAGGGCTTGGTTTCTGGCATGAAGCCGGATTGCTTGCCATCTTGGTAGTGGGCGAGTCTTTTATTAGTGTGGTCCCCTAGCAACGAGTCTCCTTGGTTACCGGAGAGGCCCGGCCGAGCGTGGGCGGGGATGGATGCGCCCAGACTCCTGGACTGAGCGCCGCCCCCGCCCACTTTTCTGATTTTCGTCTTTGAGCCTTTGTGCGCGGGCTGGTCGTAAACCCAACCCAATCTCCGTCTGAGTTTATAGCTCACCTTAGGGGGAAAGACCCCCCTCTCCCCGCAGCCACCCACCAGGCTAAGCTTAGGGACTGCTCTGGGCTCCCGTGGCCCCAAGTCCCCAGCACGTGTTCGCGGAATGCTTGGCCCTCTCGTGGTCCCCACGGTCCAGGCTGTTACCTTTCCTCACCATCGAGGAGCTCTTTCTCACACCGCGTCCTCTACAGCTCTAGACTCTCCCGTAGCTCCCCCGTGCCCGCAGGCTGAAGTCCCCGGCACCTGCACCCCTTCAGATGCTGGTCTCATCTCCAGCCTTTCTCTCCTCTCCCCCCTCCTCAGCCCCCAGCCACCCAGAAAGAGATGCAGTTTCCCTTAATAAGCCACCTCTCTTCTGTGTCTCTGCCCACGCTCTTCCTCCACCAAATACTGTCCCCCACTTCTTTTGAGGAGTCCTAGATATTCTTTAGGCTCCGGTGTCCTCAAATCCAGGGAAGGGCGCAGGCACCGGTGATGGCCCACCTCGGGCAGAGCGCATCCTCCGGCTGCCCCTTCTCCCCAGCCCTGGCCACGTGGCGCTGGGGAGTCACCCAGTTCAGAGGGGCTGTGCAGAGGATTCCAGCATCCTCATACCCTGACAGGGACCACTGAAGTCAGACCAGATGCTCTTTATTCTCCAGCTCTGGACCGTAGGGGGTGGCTCCCAGGGGCCCCACTCAGGGGAAATCCAGCCAGCAGGGGAGCTTGAACTGCTGACCTTCAGGGTGAGGGGCCGGCAGTCAGCCCTCATGCAGTCCAGAGCCCTGCAAACGTCCTCCAGTCACAAGTGAGTGAAGGAACAGCCGGTCACTTCAGGAGTGACCTCCTGACTCCCACCCCCTCAGTCAGGTCCAGGCAGGGCAGGGGGCCCAGAGGAGCTGGTGGGCCCCGTGGTCTGTCGGCAGCATTTCCACAGGCGATAGGTGAGGACCGCCAGCAGCAGCAGCGCCAGCACCACGCTGCCCGTCCACACGGTCGCGGACGGCACTGGGGAGCCTGTAGAAAGAAGCGTGAGGAGCCTGAACCCCTCTTTGCAGGTTTTGGGGAGAAGCTCAGCAGAGCTGCTGAGGGCTTCCAAATCTACCGAGCTCCCTGAAACTTTACAAAGGGCTTCACCATTTAGAACAGCTTTTGACATGTGCAAACCCCTGGATATCCAGGGGGAATCTTTTGAAAGGTGCATAGGACCTGACGGTGGGAGGTGGGCTGTCCAGTGAGGTGGGCACAGGCCATGTCTGTGTTCAGAGTGTGGCTCGTCTGCAAGCGCCCTCAGTGTAAATACACATCGCACGTTGAAGATGTGTATTTCTCCAGATAAAAAGAATATAAAATGTCTCACTCACACTTGTTTAGAGATTACATGTTGACGTGATAACGTCTGAGATATATTGGGTTCTATAAAACATAGTATCAAACTTATCTGTACTTTTTTTTCTGAATGTGGCTACTAGAAAATTTGAAATTCCCTAAGTGGCGGTATCCTATTTCCATTTCCCTCCCACAGGCTGTTCGGGTCTGTATTGTAAATTTTAGTTTACAAAGAGGTGTAAAATCTCACGTCCCTGAAATTTACAGCCATCGCCATGCCAGGCCACTGTAATTGCACGATGTCGGGGAGGCCGTCTGGCCACTGAGGCTGGGTGGGGCACTTCCTGGTCTGGGGTGATGCAAGGCGTCCCCCCACCACCCGTGGCTCCTCTGGGCCCTCCCCAGTCCCAGAACTTACAGATTTGCGGGACCAGGTACAGGCTGGCCATCTGGCCCCCGGGGTCCAGGCGACACTGGAACCACCCCTCGGGGGTGCACTCGGCCCACGGCATGCTCAGCCAAGCCTGGGCTCCGGCCTCCCGCCTATCGTAGGCCTCCAGACCACCAGGGGCTTGGATCCAGCGCACGGCCACACCAGGGCTGCAGGCCGCCTCACACAGCAGCTCCAGGCCCCCTGGCGCAGGCGACTGGTGGATCTCAGGGCGGCAGGTCCTGGCGGAGCTGTTCCCAGAGGTGGGGCCTGGACTGGTGGGGCGAGGACTCGTGGGGTCTGGACTCCCAGGGCTGCGGGTGGAGCCCTGCTGGGGCGTTGCCTCTGGGGAGGTCATGACAGGGGGCTCCCGGGAGGTCAGGCTGTGCAGGACTGGAAAACAAGGTGGCCGTTTTCCCTCCCTGCCGCCCCAGGCCCCCCCTCCTGCCTCAGTCTCTCCATCTGGATCATGGGGTTGGACCAGAACCGCTGCGAGCCCACCCTGGGCCCCTCGGGTGGATCGCAGGTATCTCGGTGGCTGGGAGCGGTCTTGGGGTCCATGGCAGCCGCCCCACCCTGAGTGAGCTGCTGGGGCTCCGGGTCTCACTTTCCTCCACTGTACTGGGGGCAATGGCCACCCCCCGGGGCTGCTGTGGACAGTGACCCAGTTCACACGGGGGCCCGGAGTGCAAGGTCAGGGTCATCAACTGCTGGGTTGTTGTGGGACTGGGAGGTGGAGAGAGGGGAAGATGCTCCCCATGGCGGGAGGGGGTCCTTGAGCTTTCTGCTCGTCACCTTGTGGTGCAGATGGGGAGACTGAGGCCCCAGGAGGGGTCTGCACGTCCTCCTATAAAATCTCTCGGATCCAGCAGCCTCTCCATGTGCCCTGCCACCACCCCCTCCCCAGCCCCTGGCTTCTACTTGACCCAAGCGCTGCCTGACCCCCACGACCCCAAGCACATTAACGTGAGTTTCAGGGTGCCCTGTCTGAGAGAGAATTGGTGCTTCTGTAGTGAGAGGCCACAAAGGGCCTGTCCCGGATTAGACACGTGTGGGTTTAATTAACAGTAACGTCTGACACGAACGGAGCACCTGCTGTGCACCAGGCCCCACGGGAAATGCTTTCGTTTGTTCACCACACGTATTTATCGTGCACCTACTCTGCCCTGTGCCTGGTGAGGTCATTCACTCATTCGTTCATTCACTCATTCAGAACGTAGGTATCCAGCACCTACTGTGCGCCGGGCACCGCTCTAGCCCCTGACACACAGCCAAGAACCAAACAGACACATCCACATCCTGGTGAAGCCGACCACAGGCAAGACAGATAACAAAAGGAAATAAGGAGAACGTACGGGATGTCAGGTGTTGATAAAAGGTGTCGGAAACAAGAACAGGAGAAGAGAAAGGGCTTGTGTGTGTGTGCATGTGTGTGTGCATACACGTGTGCATGTGTGAGGGGCAGGGCAGGGGGGTCAGGGGAAGCCTCACTGGAAAGGTGACCTGAGGGAGGTGAGTAAGGGAGCCACAGAGAGATCCGGGGGAAGGGCATTCTGGGTGCAGGGCATGGCAGCGCAAAGGCCCCGGGGCAGGACCCTGCAATTTCCCCAGCCACCATGGGTAGTGTGACCATTCGGATGGGAACGCAGCAGGTGAGGGGGGAACTAGGGTCCCAGAGTGGGGCCCCGCTCATCAAGGCAGAGGAGCTGGGTGGTGCAACTTCACTCGCTCCTTGGGGGTCGCCAAGGTGCGGGTCGGCAGGTCCTCACTCACCTGGAATGGGCTGGCGGTGGCTCCGCTCCAAGCCGGGCAGCCTCATGGTGGCCTGGCATTGGAGGGCGGGCGGGGGGAAGGTCCCCAGCGGGGGCAGCAGCCAGCGCTGTGTCACTTGGAACAGCGAGTCCTCGCCGTCCTGGGACTCCTCCTCCAGTTCCGGGTCCTGGGCCTGCGCCCCCTCCAGCTCCCGGTCCCCCAGGAGCAGAGAGAAGGAGACGGTGTTCTGGTCGTCTCGCCTGGCAGGCGAGACGTTGTGGGCTGTGCAGGTCACCTCCTGGTCCCGCCCGGCCACCAGGGCCACTCGGGAGACGGTCAGCTGGTCCGGGAAGGCTGTGGACAGGGGATGGAGGGGGGTGGGCTGAGTCCGGAGGGTCAGGACCACAGAGGGCCCTGAGGAGGGGGTGTGGGGTGGGGTCAAAGGTGAGCGGGGACTGTTGGTGCACAGCGACATGGAAGACCCAGAGGCCAAGCTCGGTGTGGCTAGAATATAAGGGGGAGGGGCCCAGAGTAGAAAGGATGGGGGACTGAAGGCCTGGAGGCTGCAGGGAGGAGGGTGCGCAGAGGAGGGAGCGGACGGCAGAGCGACTTGGACCTGGAACGCAGGCACGGAGCTGGGGCGGGGTGGGCAATCCCGAAAGGCTCCGGAGAGGAGGCAGCGGCAAAGGAGGACAGAGGTGATGCGGGGCTGCCGGGTGTGCAGATGCGCGAGGGGCGGCGGGGCTCACAGAACACCAGCAGTTCCACGGTCCGCTGGAAGGTGGAGTTCCCGCAGGAGCCCACGCACACGCGGATCCCCGCCGCCGCCAGCGAGGCATTGCGCACGGAGAGGACGCTGCTGCCCGCGCCCGACTGCACGGCGCCCAGGCTGGTGTCCAGGCCGCGCCACTGCACCGAGGCCGCCGCGGGGTCCGCGCAGGCCACGCGGCAGGTCAGCTGCTGCGACCCACCCACTTCCACCGCCACCACGAGCTCGGGCGGCTCCACCTCCAGGGCACCTGCGGGCAGACGGCGCGCTCAGCCGGGCGCCCCGCCCGCCACGCGGGACCCTGGCCTGGACTGGTCCCAGGGGCGCCTGCGCCTGGACCCCAAGCCCTCCCAGCCCCGCCCCCGCCAAGGCTCTCCTCCAGGACCCCCTCCCCTCCCTGCGCCCCCTCCTCCCTCCTGAGCCCCCTCCCCTCCCTGCGCCCCGTCGTCTCACCTGACCCCCCTCCCCTCCCCAGACTCCTCCGCTCCCGGAGCTCCCCACCCTCACCGCGGCCGCGCCGCAGCAGCCCCAAGAAGAGGGGCAGCAGGAGGCCGAGGCCCCACTCCATGCCGGCCCCTGCGTGTCCCCAGCCCACGCGGCCGTGGCTTAAATAGCGGCGCCCGGGGCTCCTTGCCACCGCCCCCTCTTCCAGCTGCTCCCCGGGGGTTTCCCGAGGGGTTTCCCGCCCTGACCCCCGACCCCGGAGGCGACAGGGAGGCAGGGGCTGGCGGCCAAGGCGGGTCCGGCCGAGGTCAGAGAGGCGGGGCGGGTGGGTCTGGGCCGAGTCCAGGTCTCACTTTTAGAAACGGGAAGATAAGAAAGCGCGCGCAGCAGACGATGACCCCCGAGGTCAATTGAAGGGAAATCGGAACCAGGCCTAGGGTCGGCACCGCCCCCTGCCCACCCCGGTCCCCGGCCGGCCGGACTCTCGCGCCCTGGTCCCGAGCGGCCGCGCGGGGGCGACGAAGAGCGAGCTGTGTCCAGGGCGGCGTGCGCGGGGGTCTCCAGGGGTGGGGTCTCCTGTGGGTTGTATTCCCCTGCAAGTGGGGGTCTCCCCAGGGATGATGGAGCTGAGGCCCGCCAGGGCCTGGGACGGGGCACCACCCAGCCCTGAGCTGAGCTTGTTTCCCCTCCTTCAGACCGGAGGCCTGGTGGAGCCTGGGAGCCCCGGGTACGGGGCCGCCTCCAGGCTCCATTCCACACGGGGACCTGGGTCTGGGGTCCACAGGGAACCCCACAGAGGCCTGGGAAGGGACCCCGGCCAGGCTTCCACTCGCAGCAGGTGTCAGCCAGTCTCCCTCTTGTGAACACGCGAGTGCACCCCCATTCCCGGTGCCCCTTGGCCCGCTCCCCTCTCTCTGTCTGCCCTGCACAGCCGCTCAGCACCCGGCACCAGAGCGGTTTGAGGAACACCCTCCGAGCGACCAACACCCTGAGGCTGCCTGTGGCCTAAAGGAGAAAATCCAGACTCCGGGCCGTGGCGGAGTCCTGTAGGACTGGCAGCCTCAGGGCCTTTGCAGGGCTGGGCCCTCATCACTCTGGGTCTCCGTCCAGGTCCAGTGCTGCCTCCTGCGTCCTCCGCACCTGCCTGCCCACTGCCCCCTCCTCGGCTGCCCTTTCTCCTGGTGTGTTTTCCTCCAGACGTGACGAGGTCGTGTAGCTGGTCACATCTCCCCTGTCGGGGGAGCTTGTCTGGGGTGCTCGCTGTGACCCCAGGCCCCACGCATAGCAGGCATGCGGGACGAAAAGGATGGAGGGGTCCTGGTTTGCCCCCAGCCGGCCTCAGGGTGTGGCTTGTGCCTCAGTTTCCCTGGCTTTGGAATAAGAGCTGGGGCAGCCAGGCGATGGGGTTTCTAAGCACCACCAGCTCTGCCCGACGGTCTTCTCAGCCTCTTGATGGTCAGAGGCAGCAACTGAGGAGGGGCTGGGAGCAGAGGGGGAGACTGAGGCCTTGGCAGGGTGAGGGTCCAGGTGTGTGAACCTGGTGGCCCTCTTCCTTAGTCCCATCCCCCCGGCCCGGGTGCCGGGAAAGGCCGCACAGGAAGGCCGGCTCCAAGGTCCGGCCCTCCCCAGGCAGGGGGTGTGGGCCCCTCTCGGGAAGCTGGGCACTTGACCCGGGCGGGGGGCAGCGGGCCTGACGAATGGCCCTCTTCCCAGCCCCTGACCCCATTTCCTGCCGCCCTCGAGGCTGAGGCCCCATGGGGTGTGACCTGGCTCTTTGGCCACTGCCCAGCCCTCACCGGTCCTCCAGGCCTGAGCTCCACCTGTGTGGAGGAGGAGCCTTCACATCCAACGACGCGCCTGGCTCCGGGAGCGCTAAGGGGGCCCGAGGATGGGGGGCAGCCAGCAGCCACCCGGAAGGATCTGGGCAGAGGTGGGGAAGAGCCGGGCCTGGGGCGGAGAGCAAGGGGATGGCGGGGAGAAGAGAGGGACGGGGTGGGGGCCCAGAGGGAGGGCCCAGGTGGACCCCCGGGAGCCTGGGGCCAGCTCTGGTGGGGGCTGGACACGGGTCCCGCTCGCACCTGGGACATCGGTCTTGTCCCTGGGAGACTGAGCCCCCTGCAGCCAGCGGGTGGGGCCTGGGGTCCCCTTCTGCCCCCCGGCCTGGGCTTCCTGCATGCTGCCTGTGGATCACCTCTTCCTGGCATTGTCGCCGCCCGGAGGAAGTCCTTAGAGGCCTCGCAGGAAGCCTCCGAAGCATGGGGGGTCCCAGCCCCCCCAGACCCGACATCCTGGCCTCCCCGTCCACCTTCCTCGACAGCAGCAGTGTTCTGCCAGGAAAACAGGCCTCGGAGGGTGTCCGGGAGGGGCCTGCGCACCCTCGGCCCCGGTCACGCCAGCTCCCTCCTTCCTGCCAGGCTGGGCCAGGCCCCCCTCACTAGCACCGCTGGTCACGGGGGCTCTCCTGGCTCTTCCTTTGGGGTGGGCTGCAGCTGTGAGGGCATGGCCCCCCTCGGGTCCCCGCCAGCTCAGGCTCTGGAGGACCCCAGCCCCGATGTGACTTCTGCCATAGTGGGGAGGAGGGGATGAGGCTGCAAGTGGTCCTTTAATAAATGACGGGGACACAAAGCTCTAGAGTGGAAGTGGCTGTCAGTCCACTGGGCCTTCGATACCCCTGCTGGTCCCCGAAACCGCCCTGCTGAGCTGGGCTGAGGGGCATGGTGGGAGGGTGACCCCCAGGGCACTAAGGTGGGGGGCCAGGATCCCAAATAAACAACCGACACGGAAAGCCCATGACCACATGTCACATGGTGGTTCTCTTTCTCTCCGAAGCTGAACCCAAGTTTGGCAAAAACAGGAAGTGGGTGGGTGGCCGTCCGAGTCCGGGGTCTGCAGCTGCCCGGCCCCTCGGCCCTCTGAAGCATCAGATGTAGGTTGTCAGGAGCGTTGGGAGCAGAGGCTTCGAGCAGCGACATCTGGGTTCACGGACAGGGTGGAAGCCCCCAGTGGAGGTGGGGGTCCCGGAAGCCCCTGCAGGCAGGGCCAGTCTCCCCGGGGACTGAAGTTTGTCCCCCACCTGGGACGGGGGGCTCCACTTGTGCTGTCCTCCAGCTGCGGCTCCTGGCCCACGGGGGCCCTGGCCTGCAGGCTGTGGGGACCCACCGCTGAGCTTCTAACACTCAGGGCCAGGGCACTGTGCTGGGGGATGGAGCTGGCGACCAGGGCCTCTGTCTCACTCAGCTCCACGTGAAACAGGTGGAGGCTGAAGCCGTGGAGGCCGGTGACCACACCCTGCCCCTCACCTGGGGACAGGTCGGCACACGGCTCACCACCCCTCCCAGGGCGGGGGCAGAACAGGCCCAAACGGACCTCAGGAGGTGCGGGCAGACCAGGGGCAGCTCAGGGGTCAGCCCTCCTCTGTGTGTCTAAGCAGAGACCTGCCCATCCGACACCTCATCCATCACCTCATCCATCGTCCACCCGCCCGTCTGTCCACTGCAGGGGAGGAAGCGGAGTCCTCTACCCACAGGTCCTTGTGGCTGGACCAGGAATCAAACTGACAGGAGATGGGACAACACAGGAAAATCAGACAGCTTCAGAACATGGCTTTTCTCCTGGCAGCTTATTTGCTGCACTTTAGCTCAGATGTGCCCCCTCCTGCATCATGCCATCCTTCCCTCCTTTTGCACTACTGGGGCCCTCTTCCTGACCCCAATCCCAACCCTGCCCTCCCTCAGCCCACTGTGGCCTGGTCCCCACAGACACCACCCGCTGGTGCTAACTCCACAGGCTGCTCTCTCTCCTGCCTCACCTGATGCCCTCTGGAGGCCTCACCCCCTTGATTTCTGTGACAACTCATGGCGGGTGGGGGACTGATGGGCGTCCTGCTCTTGGGCTCTCTCTGGCTGCCCTTGCTCTTCTCTCCAGCATGCACTCTTTCCCCAAGTGGAACCACCTCCCCCAGGTTCCTCCACTTCCCCCAGGATCCTCCACCCCTTACTCTGATCCATTTCTGTTTCTTCTGCAGCACCTGCTGTCTTCCAACATACTCTGTAATTCACTCATTTGTGGTTTATTGTTTAGTATCTGTCTTTCCCACTAGAACCAGGCTCCCTGTGCAGAGGGAGCTCTGCCTGTTGGGTTCACTGATGTGTCCAGGGCCCAGGAATAGTGCCTGGTGCACAGGAGACGCTCAATGTATATCTGCTGAGCGGATAGATCAAAGCTTCAACTTTCATCTACAAGCTGTTCACACCCAATTTTCTCTCCAGATCAGACCCTCTTCCAAACTCCAGAGCAGTTTGTATGAACATGTGGACGTGGGAGAAACCCAGGAAACCGAGCGACTCGCCGGATCGGCCAAGGCCGCCCCCTCGAATACCGTCTTCAGCTAAAGACAGAGGAGGACGGGGACAGGGGGACCAGCAAAGCAGGCTGTTTACTCCAGTAAACGGGAGTCAGGGTGTTATGCAGACTCGAGTCCTCGCCCTCCGCATTGATTAGTTTCTAGAAATGAGGTCACCCCCCCCCCCCCCTTCCTGGCGCAGAAGGAGACACCTTTGCGGATGGAGATTTCCCCGCACAGACGTCACTTCTCGTACACAGGGTCACTTCTGCTTGGTCCTCCGAGCTCTCCCCTTCCGCAGTTTCTTAAAAGTAACCAGCCCCAAATAATCCTCATGCCAGAGACACGCATCCTGAGGCGGTCAATTCTGATTCCCACGGAATCTACTCTTTCAACTACGGTTTTAGGAAATCTTAAATACAGATGAAATACTTCCCATGAAAATTATGTGTAAGACACACGTAGGTATAAACCACATCCGGGATTCTGAGAATTCAGCACGAAGGAAGAACGTGAGATACCTCAATGTTTATTAAAAACTGATTACGTGTTGAAACACTAATGTTTTGGACACGCTGGTTAAATAAGTACATTCGATGAAACTCATTCTGTTTGACTTACGCAGTCCTTTTCTCCCTGCATTTCTCGCGTGAGTGGCCTGTGCGGCTCCTGCTCTGTCTGGTGGGCAGGGGCTCCGGCCTCTGTCCCGACCCCAGAACGGACGTGCCCTCTGTGGGGTGGTGAGCGGCCCTCTCCTTCTCCACCGAAGTCCACTCAGGGACCTGGGGGCCTGCTGTCCTGAGGGTTAGGATAGTCGTCCTCACCAGGCCGCATCTGGGGACGTCTGTGGTTGTCACCCTGGCGTGCTCCTGGGATCGGGGGCTGGGGGCCAGGGATGCTGCTCCGCACCCTACAGAGCCCTAGGACAACCAGCCGACACCAGCAGTGCAGAGG